GGATGTGGGGAACAGGGCACTTAAATCCTGTTAGTGGCAGTGTAAATTTGTCTAGCCTTTTTGCAGGGCAATTTAACTCTCTCCAAATGTAACCACATCTACTTTTTGATTCAGCAGTTCCATTCCTAGGAATCCATCCTAAGGAAAGGCTCAAACATGTATGAACTCTATGAATAAGGATGTCTATTGAGGCACACTATGTAATTGCAAAAGCCTTTAGGTAACTGAAATGTCTACGCCACCATGTAAGTGACAAAACCATTAAAAAGAATGAGACAACTATGCTGACATTTTTTTCCTGTAAATTTGAAGCTACTTGAAAACAAAAAGTTACCTAAAAACAACAAGTGCCATGACAAATTAAGATATTCCCCCCAAGTATGCAAGGGTGATCCAACAGTAGGAAGTCCATCAATATAACTCACCATTTTTAAATCCTGCCTGGAGAAAGAAAACAAGAGCTTGGAAAGGTGTACACCCTGTATTAGTGGAAAAATTCAAGTTGCAGAATAGGATAGTATAACATTATTCATATCTTTGGAATAAAGAGAAAACAAACAGACAAACTCTAAGTGTGTGTGTGTGTGTGTGTGTACACACTTTTATGTACATTATTAAAGTTGATTTCACCAATTTATTTTTATTTTTTAATGTGGTGACTTAGAAAGTTTAAAATCACATATGTAGCTCCCATTATATCCCTATTGCTCAATGTGGATATACAATATATTCAAAGTTCCCACAAATCAATAAGAAAAAGACAAACTAGTAGAAAACTGGACTAACGATAGAAGTATAAAATTCATCAAGAAGAACTGCATTTGGGGCACCCGGGTAGCTCAGTCAGTTAAGTGTCTGACTTCAGCTCAGGTCACGATCTCCCCTCAGTCCATGAGGTCAAGCCCCACATCAGGCTCTGTGTTGTAGCTTGGAGCCTGGAGCCTGCTTCAGATTCTATGTCTCCCTCTCTCTCTGCCCCTCCCCCACTCATGCTCTATCTCTGTATCTTTCAAAAATGAATAAATGTTAAAAAAAAAAAAAAGAAGAAGAAGAACTACATTTGACCAACAAACATTCACACACACACACACACACACACACACACACACACACACACATCCACACTTTACCAAACTAGCTATATGACTCTGGGCAAATCCCTTTAACATCTCTGTGCCTCAACTTTCCCAACAGTAATATGGAAACAATAAAGCATCTACCTCATAGACCTGTTATGAGGACAGGATAAAAATCCTAGGATTTTAAATCCTAGAAAAATATTTAACACAGTGCCTGGTACATATAAATGTTCAATCAGTGTTACCTGTTATCATTATTATTTTGTCAAAGAAAGACCCAGAGGCCAAAACATTTTGAAAAGAAAAAAGTCACTTGGAAATGCAAGGGAGTGTACCTTCACAAGGAAGGACCAGCTAGCCCAATAAAAAGCACAACACAGGTATTTAAAGAAAACAAGTGCAAAATTGCCAAGGTGACAAAGTTGTACAGTAATCTGTTCATGATTTTAAAATAAACAAATAACCAAAGCAAAATAGTACCTTTCTCAAGAAATTACAATATCCACAAAGGAAGTGACCTCCATTTGGACACCAACATCACAAAAGATGGAGATGAAGTTGTCTTTGCCAAGATTTATGGGAAATACTCAAGGTTTTAATATTGGAGGGATGTGGGCTCAACAGACTGACCCTGTATTCTTGGTTTATCTCAGGGTACAAATTGCTATTTCTTTATCTTGACTGATAGACACAATGTACTTAGTCATAATGGAAGCAAGAAAAAGTGTCAGCTTTCCCTTCATATTATTCACGGGTGGGGAGAGGGGGCAGAATCTAGAAGCAAATGCACCAGACTACAATGGCTATCCCTGGGAAACAGGATGAGGAGAAGACCTTACTATTTACTGGGTGTTTCTGGAGCATTTGAATGCTTTCCATGTTCACAAATTACATTTGTAATCTGTAAAAGAACTAATAAGATCATATAAATGTTAAATATCTAAGCCATCCTCTGTTTCTTTCTAGTTCTTCCACAACAGATGGGATAGTTTGCTTTCCAAGCTTTTCAGAAAAAGATTATAAACCGTGCATTTTCTCTACAACCCACCTCCATGACTTCAGTCTGTAGTGTCTACCAGGAGACCCTTAGCATGCAATTCCAAATTGGGAGAGGCAAATAATGATAGCCAGTGAATGGGGGAGGGAGGAATTAATTCCTTCTTGCTCCATTGTTAGATCTCCACCTTGAACCCTGAGACTCCCAACCAGTGAGGTCCTTCAGAGTGAAATCTGGGAGTTCTAAAGCTCCCACACTCATCTCTCCATATCCTAACATTTATCCAGCAGATATGCCCATAGACAGCCCCTTCTTCAAGGACCAGAGGAGGAAACGGATTCATAAGAGAACTCATGGTGGGGACTGGTGGGGGCAGGGGGAGGTGAATCCACAGCTGATACTGAAAGAGGCTTTCATCCATCTTTCAAGCCAACCATGGCCTCATTCCTAGACAACTCAGCATCTCCCTTAGGAGCCCCAGCAAGGTGGTGGTTTGCAGAGAGGAGGGCAACATACAAGATGCAGAGTGGCGGCAGGTGATAAAGGTTGAGCAAGACTCACTCGTGGCTTGCACACAAATCCCCCTCAGCCGGGTCACCAGCCTGCCTCTGCTGACCTGCAGTAAACAACTCAAGTGGCTCAGGAAGCCTCTATCTCACCTGTGTCGTGGGCAATGCACAGATAGAGACATACCCCTCAGTGTGCCACAGGCTTGCTGTTCTTCCCACTGGAGAACATGAAACTGATTTTTTTATCCAAACAGCCAGGAGTTTAGGCATCACCCTATATTTTTCCTCTGATTACATCAACACAAGTACATTGCCATAACTAAGTGCATCTTAAACGGGGTTTTCCAAAGCAACACAATAGGATAATGATCACTTTCAGAGAATGTTGAATGTGCGTAATTTTACACTGGATTGAGAAAAACATAAAAATTTTTTAAAAAATGAACTGGACTGTGAGCTCAGAATTTAGAGGTCTAAGATTCTACACATTGACTTTGATCATAAAGACTATAAAACAAAGTTCCTGGGGTGCCTGGGTGGCTCAGTCAGTTAAGTGTCCATCTCTTGATTTCAGCTCAGGTCATGATCACACGACTCGTGGGTCAAGCCCCGCATCAGGCTCTGTCCTGACAGCTCAGAGCCTGGAGCCTGCTTCGGATTCTGTCTCCCTCTCTCTCTCTCTCTGCCCCTTCCCTGCTCTCTCTCTCTCTCGCTCTCGCTCTCTCGCTCTCTCTCACTCTCGCTCTCTCAAAAATAAATAAACATTGAATAGTATTAATAATAAAACAAACAAAAATCACTAGCCAGGTGTTTCCAATAAATACTCAGGGCTGAGCACTCCAGAATTCAGGACTCCGAATTCCAATGCTCATGCTACTGGAAGGTCTGGATATCATTACAGGTTCCTGCCTTCCCCTTTACACCAGAGTCCTGTGAGTAAAGCCCCCTTCACTGCTGAGGCCCACAGCTTGTTGCTAAGGTGGTCAGAATCCAAGAATTAATGGAAGGTTCTGGAAGCGGGAAGCTCAGTGTTCCGGGTGTTTCTCTGGCTTTTAATTGTCTACACGGGCTTAATCCGCCTTGAAAGTACAGGAAGAGGAGCAATCTATTACTGAAGTGCTGTGACTTCAGCATCAAGAACAGAAGTTCCTACTGAAATCTACCATTCAGCACACTGATCAACCTCTGTCTGTTAACTCATGAATACCAATGTCCAGTCTTCACTGAGCTGCAGCAGAACTTTTGAGGGGATCCTCAGCAGTGGGAGTTATGATGAGGAGGGTTTCCTAGAGGACTGTTTGGCTGCCCTGGCCATCAGCTCAGCAGCAAACTTTCTCTGAGCACCTCCACTTTGCCCTCCAACAAACTCACATTCTGTAGGGAAACAGATCTGTTTCTCTCACCTGCTCAGCCAGTACCTATTTCTTGAGCTCCTACCATGTACCAGACGCTGCTCAAAGTACTAGCAATAAAGGAGGTATTGGCTGGGGGGCCTGGTGGGGAGGGGTAGCTGCTATTTACCAGCCAGACAGAAGTCGTTTGGTATTTTAGCAGCCGGGAAAGCCGTATGAGTAGGTACCAGCTGAATGACAGCTTGGCTTGGGGATAGAGGTGAACGGTTCAGTCGAGGTTCGCTGACCTCATGGATTGAACTTCTAGTGCAGAAAAGGCAAACTTTTTCTGTAATGGACCAAACAGTAAGTATGGCCTCTGATCCAGCTACCCAACTCTGTTGTAGATTAAAGGAGCCACAGACAATAGTAAACAAATGAGTGTGGCTGTGTTCCCAACAAACTTCATTTATAAAAAACAGCCAACTGGGGGCATGTGTGACTCAGTCGGTTAAGCACCTGACTTTGGCTCAGGTCAAGATCTCAAAGTACATGAGTTCAAGCCCCACATCAGACTCTGTGCTGACAGTTCAGAGCCTAGAACCTTCTTCAGATTTTGTCTCTCCCTCTCTCTCTGCCCCTCCCCTGTGCTCGCTCTCTCTCTCTCTCTCTCTCTCTCTCTCAAAATTAAACATTTAAAAAACAACAGTAGGCTGGACTTGGCCCATGGGCCAGAGTTTGCAGACTTCATTCTGCTGGACGAGACATGCATACCTGTTCATTATACAAATATTTATCAAGCATCTTCTGCATGACAAAATATGGCACTGGGCACTGGTACACTCTGCTGAACAACAGATAGTGGTCCCTGCCCACAGAGCACTTATACTATAATGGGAGAGGCCCAATCAATCATTTTAATGTGCTATAGTAAATACCAAGATGAAAGTAATCAGCAAGGGGAAATCAGTCAGCCCAGGGTGGGCTTCCTGGAGGAGGAAGAGGTGATCAGATCAGCCTGAGAAGCGCATGCCTTTCCTTGTGGGTTGTCTGTCACCACCAGCTTTTCCCTTGTGTCCTCCAGTCTCTGAATAGCTACAACGATGGAGACATTGAAGGATCCAAGCGTCTCGGGAGGAATGCCAAGTGGGTGGCCGTCGCCTCCATCATCATTGGTCTTCTGATCATCGGTATTTCTTGTGCAGTTCACTTCACAAGGAAGTAAGTAGGCTTTTTGAATCTTTCCAGATGTGAAATGCTTTCTCTTGAATGCCTGTTGGAACCTGTTAGGACAGGTTAGGTTATGTTCCAGTAGTGAACAATGCCAAAGAAAAAGAGTTTTCATTTTCATTTCACTGGTGTTATACAAGCCACGTAGTTTTGTGGAGAGTCCCTCCTCTGCCCAGTCACTCAGCATCCAGGCTATCCAAAGCTAGACCATCTTCCAGCTGCTCTGTCAAGAACAGGGGTCAACAAACTTTTCCTATAAAGGGCCAGACAGTAAATACTGTAAGCCTCTATCACCATCTCAGTCATGACTACTTAACTCCGCCATTGGGGCAGAAAAGCAGCCGTATACAATATGCAAATGAATGAGCATGGCTGTGTTCAATAAAACTTTATTTACAAAAATTGGCATCTGGCCCATGGGCCACAGTTTTCCCACCTCTGAGAGAGGAGAGAGGACGACCAGCGAATTCCACATGCATTTTCACTGCCTCAGTCCCTTCCTCTGCCTAACCTGCTGAATGATTTCATGACTTTGACTCAACTAGCCAACTGTTCTTACTGTAAGAGCAGAAGGGCTACACATACTTTTTACCGACGTGCTCTCAGCTCACAAAGAGATGGATGCTGCTCCTGATCTCTCTGGATTTGGACAAATTTATCCTGATTTTTCTAACCAGCAGAGACGGGCTCCATCTGCTAGAATCGATGACACTTTCCATCAGAGCTCTGACAGGGGCCAAGGTCGTGTGATGGACAACGAAGATCTGGAAATGACAAGCCCAGATCCATCTCTGCCTCACTGTGTAACTCCCGGCAAGGCAGATAAAGACTCTGAGAAACCATTTAGTTCTTCCCCCCAGAGCAGCGGGTTAGCCCCATGCCATGTCCTTCAGGCTGAGGTCAGCCTCTTTGACTTGGTTTCAGGAAAGGCTCACCTGGTGGGCGAGGGAGGACACAGACACCCGTCAGCCTACCAGATTGGCCAACCCAACCGTGGCAGCTAAGAGGATAGTGCATGTCACAGTAGGTCAACTTCCTATCAGATGAGCCAGACCCAGGAACAATCAAGGCAGTTGGATGGAGGGGAAGATGTGAAAACAGAAAGTGTCACAGAGGGGGAGAAAATAGACAGCTCTGACCAAAGAGAGGAGAAAGGGACACTAAAATTTTCATCAAAGAAAGTTTCTTGCCTGCAAGATGGAAAATGGATGGTGGTAGTCTATGAAGAAGGCGGGTAGAGAAGAGATGTGAACACACCCAACTTTATCCTTGAAGGAAGGCAGAATGTGCTTGTGTGTGAGCAGGGGGCTGTGGAGTGCTGGGCTAATGGTGCAGGCTTGGCACCAGACTTCCTGGGTACAGCCTTCCCCTCTGCCACTAACCTACTGTGAGACTGACTGTCAACCAAATGCATAACCTCAGTTTCTTCTTCTGTAAAATGGGGATTATAGGAGTACCCATGTAAGAAAGCTATTGTGAAGGTTAATTAGATGATCCATGGCATGTGTGTAGCATGGTGTCTGTTCCTCAGTTGGTGCACAAAAAATGCAAACCATTTGGGCCACTTGGGTGGCTTAGTTGGCTAAGCATCCACCTCTTGGTTTTGGTTCAGGTCAGGATCTCACAGTTCGTGAGATCGAGCCCCGTGTCAGGCTCTAACAGTGCAGAGCTTGCTTGGGATTCTCTTCCCTCTCTCTCTCTGCTCCTCCCCTTCTCTTGTTCTCTCATTCTTTCTCAAAATAAATAAGTATATATAAATGCAAACCATTTACTAATCCTATTATTACTGGTGTTATCAACATGGCTGGGAGAGGACCTCAGATGCTACCAAAGAGAGCTCATGGCTTTGCACTCATGAGCTAATTTCAAAGGACAGTGCTCCAGGGGAAAAAGGCCAAGTCTTGGCCTAACTCCTGGGAACTTGTGAAAATACATACTGCCCAGATCAGTGTTGAGCTGAGTTATAATAATAGCACCCAACACTGGCATAGAACTTACCACAGGCCAGCTACTGTCTAAGCTCTGACATGAATTAATCCCTATTGAGCCCCCACAGCAACCTCATGAAGTAGGTATTATCATCCCCACTTTGCAGATAAGAAAACTGAGCCTCAGAGAAGAAAAATAAATTGCCTGATGTCTCACAGCTAGTTAGACATAAAGGCAGGGTTTAACCTGGGATAATCTGGCTCTGACGGCTGTTGTTTTTTTTTTAATGTTTGTTTATTTTTGAGACAGAGAGAGACAGAGAGAGACTGAGTGTGAACAGGGGAGGGGCAAAGAGACAGGGAAACAGAGTATCTGAAGCAGGCTCTGCACGGAGCCTGGTGTGGACCTCAATCTCACGAACTGTGAGATCATGACCCGAGCCGAGGTCTGATGCTTAACTGACTGAGCCACCCAGGCGCCCTGAAAACTGTTTTTAACCACACTGCCACACTGCCTCTATGCCCACAGCTAGTATACTCAGTTGCACTCGCCTTTTGGCTAGCTCCAGGACTGACTTACATGGGGGTGGTATGCTGAGGTTTCAACCTGAAAAGAGAAACAAAAAACAAACAAACAAAAACCCTGTGATGAGACAGGGCCAAAGGTAACAAAATGAAAACTGCAGGAGGTAAGCAAGGAACATGCACGAATGTTCCCAGCTACACAACAATAGTGAGTGGTGGGGGCTGTGATGTTCGAGAGCACAGTCCAGCTTATTGTTACCACTTAGAACGCAGACCTCATGGAGCCCAGTTTTCAAAAGACATTGGAAAGCTAGGTTTTCATTTCAAATCTCCCAGTTTTTAGATGTTGACAACCAGTTCCCATTACATAATCACATGGTGAGGGCCCAAAACACAACAAAATGAAAGAACACACAAAAACTACACCTCCAGCCTGGACATCATCTGCTTTGCAGTCTCTGGTAGGACAATCTGGCTTTCAACAATTCTTTAATTTTTTTTTTAATTCCTGAGAGAGAGACAGTGTGAGCAGACGAGGGTCAGAGAGAGAGGGAGACACAGAATCTGAAACAGGCTCCAGGCTCTGAGCTAGCTGTCAGCACAGAGCCTGATGCAGAGCTCGAACCCACAAACCGCAAGATCATGACCCAAGCCGAAGTCAGATGCTTAACCAACTAAGCCACCCAGGCGCCCCCACAATCTGGCTTTCAAAGATCAGTTTGCCCATTAGACACCATCCAAGCAGTTTTACAAGGGACACAGAAGTCTGTGTATGCGGGGACTGTCTCCATTCTTAATATAAATATTTCTATCTGGAGCTGAAGCCCGGATGTGTATATGCTTGTGATTGAGATTTTGTTAGCAGTGGTTCCTAAGAAACAGTGTTTCACTGTGGTTGGAGCCTGGACTTCAGTCCAGGGTTTATTAGGATACAAATCATACTTCTACCACACAGACCACCCTGGCAAGTTAGTAAACTCTCTCAGCCTCAATTTCCCTGTCTATAAAGTGAAGCTAGAATTACTTCCCCATCTGTATGGTCAGATTCCTTTCAGATTCTTTTCCCTCCATGTTATCAGAAAAAACAAAAAATGTTTTCCAGAGTTAGAATCCTAGGGAGAAAGTCAAAATGTAAAGGCTTTGTCGTGTGTGTGTGTGTGTGTGTGTGTGTGTGTGTGTGTAGGAAAGAAACTAGCCCTTAGAGAACGAAATCAATTCTACCTTCCATTAAGACCAATAACGGGCCAATTTCTCAGTAATCCTTTGAAATAAAATTTCCCAGCCCTAGAAGACATGGAATTACTAAGGCAGAGGTTCCTAACTTTGAGTTGCACGCAAGTTACCTGGGAAGGTTTAAAAGAAGCTGACATTGGCACCCCATCTCAAAAGATTCCAAGTCGCTAAGTTAGAAGTGAGGCCCAAGAATCCGCATTTTCCAGCTCTCCATTCACACTCTGGAGTTGGTCAGCTCAACCCTCTTTGCCAAACGTCTTCCCTCCCAAACCCAAAAGGAAGAATGCACTTACAGAAGCTGGCCTTTAACAGAGCGGCCAGTTTTCATCTACATCAGCAAATTCATCATCCTAAACGCGTTGTATCTCACTCATTGCCAAGAAGGGGAGTCAAGTTACGGCCAAGGAGAGTACCCACGGGACAGCTCTTTTGTAACAATCCTCAAGGCAGCAAGGGCTTCTGGGGCGGTCTGAATTTAGAGGAGCCCAAGCCTGGACATGAGACAAAAAGCCTTGAATGGGTGACTTTTCTGATTTTCATTCAAAAAACTGTCTAAAATAAAGGATTGTCTTTTAAAAACTGTGAAGTCCTGCATTTAAAAAAATTACTCTTTATCCTTATCAACAACACTGTAACTAATCCCGAAGTCCTTGCCTTTTAAAAAAATTACTGTGTGTCCTTATCAAGAGAACTGTAACCAATCTCTTCTCTCCCAGATGATGAGAATCCCAAATGGATAGACTAGAGTTGTAAGAGTTTTTAGCCAAACTAAGAAAAAGGTCTCTTTCATCCAAATTTCATAGAATATCCATGTAAGCCATGTGGCGGTGAAAGAGAGATTTGGGACATCAAATCCACAAAAACTGGGAATCACTAACACTAAAATATTCAACAGTTTGAGAAAGAATGTGGTGCTCTCAGAAGAGAAGTATTCTGGTGCAGACAGAATCAGTAACTTGCAGGCTCTCAAAGTCAGAAAATTCTCTGCTCCCCAGCTGCCAGGGAAAGTGGAAAAATGAATTGCACAGAGCTGAAACATTTAAATATTGCTGCAGTCTATTTATCAATCAAATTGTTCAGGTCCCCAGCCTAAATCAACCCGTCTGCAGGCTTTTACTTTCTGCTGGTGCCTCGAGGATTTGAGCAAAGCGAGGTTATGCCAATCTTGAAGCCACCACGACAAATTCAGCTGGGATGTTTGTAAAAATGCAGATTCATGGCCTCTAATCAAGAAAGACCCCGAGTGGCCCTGAAAGATGCATTATCACAAACAATCCCCCCAAAATAGTGCCAAGTACTCCAAAGTTGCAGAAACACTGTTCTAGGGCTTTGCATGTAATGGA